GATAACCAACGAAAACAGAGCGCCTGCCCCGTTCACCGAACTTGGAGAGCCCTTTGTGGGTGTCCTTGCCGTAAGCCAAACATCCGAAGACGCGAAGATGATCGTATGAAGGCTGTCGACCAAGTAACACCTCATAGGGAGTACGATCTTGAAGTACCTTGGTTGGAAGTCGATTGATGAGATATGTAGCAGTAAGTACGCACTCGCCCCAGAACTGTAGAGGAAGATTGGCTCGAAAACGCAAGGCTCGAGCTGTTTCCAGTAAATGGCGGTGCTTACACTCGACCACACCATTTTGTTGAGGTGTGTCGGTACATGATGTCTGCAGGATAATGCCATGATCATCATAGAAACTACGCAAGCTGGTCGTTTGGAATTCCAACTCGTTGTCTGCTCGAATGCGAGCAACCTGCTGCCCAAACTGTGTCGCAGCCATGTTTATAAACATTTTCAAATAATTCTCAACCTCGGACTTATAATTCATCAAATAAATCCAGGTAGCTCTACTGAAATCATCAACGACTGTGAGAAAATAACGAGCAATATTCTGTGTAGGAACCTTGAAACCACCCCAGATATCCACATGAATAAGCTCAAAACATCGACTAGTCTTTATAGAACTCTTAGGAAACGGAAACCGAGTCTGTTTAGCTCGTACACAGGAATCGCAAGTCTCATTCTTGCCCTTATTCTCAACAGAACGAAAAGATAAAGGAGTCTTCTTGTGTGATGGGTGACCCAACCGGGAGTGCCAAAGCTCCCCCATTCCTCCGTCATTGCTAGCAGCTGCCAAGACACTCGACTTCTCGGCCCCAAACAGTCGGAGGTAATACAACCCATCACGAAGTTGTCCCGTCCCAATCGTCTTCTTGGAGTGTAAGTCCTGGATGACGCAAAAATCGCGTAAGAATGTCAATGCTACATCAAAGTCCCGAGTGAGTCTGCTGACGGACAAAAGATTGCATTTGAACAGTGGTAAACTCAATACACGACTAAGCTTCATTCCATTCGACAAACTGACATCTCCAATACGCTTAACATTCACACTGTCCCCATTCGGAATACTGACCGGTAAATAACCTGGTACTTCACAGGAGTTCTCTAATAAAGACTCATCATTGGTTATGTACTCATTGCATCCCGAATCGATGATCCATTCAGATTCGGAAAGAATATTACCTGCCATGTTAACTTGCGGCTCCGAAGATGCAGGCTGTCCGCCATTGACACTGAGAAACTGAAGTAATTGATGTACCTGATCGGAATTGAGACCTAGAATACTTACCCCAGCGCCGACAGAAGATTGGGCAGCACGAGAGTTGTTTGGACGTGTGTTGCACTCCCTGTCTCCTTGCCGAGGCTTCTTCTCCGGCCAGCCAATCAAATCAAAGCAATTTTCTTTTACGTGGCCAGTCTTTTGACAGTGACTACACCGAACACGTTCCTTCCGATCCGAGCTCCTGCCCCTCTCGTCCCTTTTCCCAGACTCCGAGACATCACGCTCTTGTTTGACCTGGAACGCCGCAGCATCGACCGTTGGCCTTCGGTTTGCTGCGATTTGTTTATGCTGCTCTTCAGTGTCAACCAGCCTATAGGCTTCAGCAAGTGTTGGCGTCGGCTTCATGGCCAGGATCTGAGTCTTCACCGTACCAAACACATCTCCTAGTCCCATGAGAAAGTCAAATAGCCTTTCATTCTCCAAGTTATTCATCACCTGCTTGCTTACATCACATGTACACTGTCCACACGTACAACGCGGAATGGGAGTAATTGTCTGCATCTCCTCCCATATCGCGCGGAGCTTGGTGAAGAAAGTGGACACGGAAAGTTTTTCTTGACGTAACGAACTCACCAGCTGTCGAAGCTCATACGCGCGAGGTGCGGATCCCTTTCCAAATCGCGCCTCTAGATCAAGCCACATCTCTCTCGCCGTTTTGGCATAACGGATCGAGCTTCTTACTTCTTTATCCATGGCTGTTTTCAACCAGCCCTTAACAAGGGCGTCACATTGCAACCACGCGGTTTGCAATTCTCCTGCCGCTTCAGGTTTAGCAACAGTACCGTCCACAATACCCAACTTGTTCTTTGCAATTAGGGCTTCGGTCATGTCCAAACATGCCATTCCTGGTTATATCATCTGCGACAATCTCCAACTTCTTGAAGTTTCGATTATTGCACCTTTTACAAGGGCATCTAGTTCTACCTAGCGTATCAACATGTTTGCTGGCAGCCCCTATGAACTCAGAAACCCCCTTTTGATATTCATCACAAAACCTATCCTTAAGCTTAATCCAATTTCTATTCATTCAATCTGTGCGTAAAGAAACTGACCTTCCCTATATAGGCAGTTGGTCAAGAAGGAAGCACAGCGTGAGATGAACTAGAAAAGGATCTGCAGAGGGTATATGACAAACCATTAGGAACCAGTTGACTTGCACGATTTCTCTGAATGTCAGAAAAATTGAAGACATTAATCGAATCTTACCTTTGCTTAGTGCTTGGGCCGCCTTCTCTCTATTCTAATTAGCACAACTGGATGGTTGAAGGATCGAAGATATAAGCAGCACCTGCCACCGAGTCAATGACAAGGAAACACAATAGCTCATTCAGATAGATAACCCACCATAATAGTCTTAAGCTAAATTAGCATTACATAGTAGCCACGGGAGGGAAGGACGACGCTTACCTATTTATGAGACCAGCGAGTTTGCTATGGGAAACGAGGGAGGGAGAAAGACCAGCGAGTTTGCTCTCCAATCCGGAAAAGAAATTTAGGTTTTGGAGATAGGGGATCTTTGAACTGCGGTGGTGACGGGGAGATTGGTGGAACAGCTACGATGACGGAAATCCCGCCGGAGAGTCGCCGGCCCGATTGGTGGAGGACGGGTAAAGGATTTTGATGTCGGGTTCCTTTGGATTTTTGATAGACTGCACAATTTCAAGGGACAAGGAAAAAGGAGTATAATTGTTCTCCCGATCGAGGGAAAGAGGTTGCAGACTAAAAACACCAATTATGACAAAATGCCACTGTCACATATCGAGACCACTATATTAAGACCAACATTACATTTGGTCAGATCGGCGAGGGGTTATGGTGCTCTATTGTGACAAACCAATTTGTCGTTTAAACAATTCATCAAGACATAATATGACAAACGATACTTTGACGATCACATTTTGTCACTTTATGTCTCTTACAACCCGATGTGGGTTACCTATTTTGACGAACCATATAGTGACACACAAACTTGGTCACTTTATAAACTTTAACTGACAAAGTATTCTGACAAACTGATATTTTGTCACATTAAGAGTACCAAATGTGATATTTACAATTTTTGTCATATTATAGTACCTATTATGACAAAAGTAAAATGACAAAAAAAAAATTGTCCTAATAGGCCGAATTTGTTGTAGTGGTAGCGGGAATCACAATGGTAGCTCCTGCTCCATTGGTGCCGCCGATCACAACATCGCCAGTTCCGCCGCCGCTCATTGTGAAGACCTAGATTGTGAGCACCAGCTCTGATACCATGAAATAATCTAACAACGTAAAATGAAACGAACACGAGACACGGTTTTACGTGGTTCTTCTCATTCGATGTGAATGAGCTTACTCCACGGAGAAGTTATGCTATCTCAGCTTATATTCATAGTACACAGCCGATTACAAGATACATATATATATAACCCTATTCGACTAATCCTCTAGGGTTAGGCATAAGCTCAAGCCGAAGACCCAAAAGACACATATGTCCTTCGGCCAACACGACTACGTACTGAACACTCCTTACACCTACTGATTACTCCTACTGTCGATGCATTCAGCCATCTCCAACTCTCACTTCTCGGGGATCTTCGCAGCAACAGCCGCAAGGATAAACTTCTCTTCTGCATCCTGAATGATCACTCCTAGCCCAATTCCGCCAGCTTCAAACACCACTGCATCCGGTTTTATCTTCACATAACCATGTCTCGGTTTCTGCCAACACCTCACTGCTACAGTTTCAGCCATGGTCTCTTCGGCCACCTGATGAGAAGGATATTCCTCAATAAAGAATTTGGCTCTAGGTACAAAACCATTCTCCGCTAGCTTAGTGTCATTGAACATTTGAGCATTTCATTCTTTTCAAGTAACACCATAATTCAAGAGCCATATTTCTATTCTGTAGAATTAGTAATTTACACTAAATATTGTTCTATTTTATACCATCAAAATGTACGTACGATGTTTTTCATGTGTCATGAATCATGAGATACCATGTAAATAAGTTATTTAAACAAAAAGAGTTCGCCAAACGATCAAGATCAAGTCTGATTTCTTATAAAATAACTATATTTTGAGAAATTTTTTTATAACATGTCTACTTTGGACAAACTCCACAATTTGAATCGCGCTTTTTTCCTCTTGCGAGTAGAGGCGCCTTGAGCTTGACCGATCCGATCTACATGCCCAAGAAGCTAAATTGGGGGCGTGTTTGTGACCCACACCTCACCACTACGGCCATCAAGGCTGCATGCTAGTTGATTGAATTTGAAAGGAGGGTATGTTAATTGTTATCTCACTTACCCACAAAAATGGTATTCTATTTCTAGCTCTACAAAGTTTATGTTGCTGCCTTGCTGGGTTAAGCCAGATCTAAACCGATTGGCACACAATTTGGTTCAAATATATGAATCCCTGTCAGACAAAGGACATGATCAACTAGTGACGATCCATCAACACTCTGCATTTCATTTTCTATCATTCAATCTGAAATCACCGATTTCACATTCATGCACTCTTCTGACCAGTGACCAGAGCATTGGTGAGACAAAACGATGGAAACCCAGAGTAGAGTAGAGTGCAATTGGAATCAGGTACAGGAAAGTGAAGAAGCTTTTTTCATTAAACACATCAACAAACCCCACACAAGTCACAAAGTGAGGAAGAACTAAAACTACCACAACCCAAAACACTACTGGATACCTAGCTACACGATTACAGACCCACAAAAGAATCAAGCACGCTCGCCCCTAATCCTTCGAGCGAGCTGGATATCCTTGGGCATAATGGTGACCCTCTTGGCGTGAATGGCGCAGAGGTTGGTGTCTTCGAAAAGACCGACGAGGTAGGCCTCTGCCGCCTCTTGAAGGGCAGAAACGGCTGAGCTCTGGAACCGAAGATCTGTCTTGAAATCCTGTGCGATCTCACGAACAAGCCGCTGGAACGGAAGCTTGCGGATCAGAAGCTCCGTGCTCTTCTGATACTTGCGGATCTCACGGAGGGCGACGGTTCCGGGCCTGAACCTGTGTGGCTTCTTCACTCCGCCGGTCGCCGGAGCCGACTTCCTTGCGGCCTTGGTCGCCAGCTGCTTCCTCGGCGCCTTGCCTCCGGTGGACTTGCGAGCGGTTTGCTTGGTACGGGCCATTTTTTTGAAGGAGAGGAATTTAGAATTGAAGATGTTAGATTGCTGAAGATTTGAGGGTGAAAGAGATGTCTGGGAATGGGGAAGAAGAAAGAGTATTTATTGTGATGGGGAAGAGACTGTAGCCGTTGGATTGCGTGGGGTTATCTACGGTGAGAAATGGATTAGTTTCCGGATTGATGATGTGGATGAAGTAGAGTGCTTCATTACATGTGCTATCGACGGCTGCTGTGGAACCTTGAAAATTTGACGCGGATCGGTGACGTGGAAGGGGGAGGTTTCAGAATTTCGAATTTCGATACTCGGGGAGAGCGGGAGGTGAAAGGGGGCCGACCGCGCCAAAACCCAAATGGATAGTTCGAACTTCGAGATGTGGCTTGTGATCCAAGCCCAAGATGCATGCAAATGCAATCGAGCTTTATTCTCCCATCTTCCTTCCCGACTCGCTCCAGGAGACCGACGCTCGACCACACCAGCATTAGTCCATAACCATGAAAGCAGTGCAGGAATGTATTGGGGATTTCAATTTGTTTTTTATTTTCCAATTAACAAATATGGCTTAATTGCAAGATTGGTCACTCGAATTGCTATAAAATTTCACGTTTGCTACTCAAATTAATTTATTCCATTTATAGTCACTCGAATTAGTTGAACAGATCAAGTTCAGTCACTCTCCGTTAACCTCCGTTAACTTTGACTAACGTGGCGGTCAACTCTGACCGTTGACCGTTAAATGTGTGACGTGGCAAATAAAAAATAATAAAAAATTTAAATTAAATTTTTAGAAATTACACATCATTATAAAAAAAATTATAATTATAAAAAATGAAAAAAGAAATTATCACAAAAACTTGAACTGCCGCTCCGACCACTCTGTTTCCAGATCGTACTTCCAACGTCACTCTCTTTCCGGCCGCCGCAACTGCTCAACTCTAAGCGGCATCGATGGATTCCTCTTCATCGTCGCTAGAGAGTTGCCCGAGCTTCTCCACTTCCTCTCCGGAGTACTCCGATTCGACGCCGCGTGGATCGGCTGCTGCCGCTTCCCCTTCCTCCTCTGCAATCTCCCGAGCGCTCCACCTCGTCAAATCCGAGAATCCAGAGTCCAAGGTCGAGGCGGCGAGGGAAATCCGCCGCCTCGCCAAGACCTCGCAGCGGTGCCGCCGCCTGCTCGCCCACGCCGTTTCGCACCTCGTCTCCATGCTCCGGGTGCGCGACTCCGCCGACTGCCACGAGGCCGCCTTGCTCGCGCTGCTCAATCTCGTCGTCAAAGACGAAGGGTAACGATTTCCATTTTTTTCATTCTTTTCAAAAAAAAATTCTTCCTTCAATGGATTGATAATTGATTAGTTTAATTAGGTGTTGATTTTGAGGACGATATTGCGGGGAACGTTTCGACGATTCAGCTGCTCAGCTGCATTGTCGATTTGAGGGATTACCTTCCCGAAGAGGCCACTTTTGGGTTCACCGGTTCCACCGGTCGGTTTGTCGTCGTTCACAGGATTCACTCCTGGGATTTTGCTTCCAACTTGGAACGATTCGTTGCTCCTACTAATTCTGCTCCTGTCGTTAGGAAGGGAAAAAACAGAGTTGGTTCGAGGGTTCTAGTGGGTTTGGCAGTTGGTGGGGGTTTTCTGATTAGTTTGTTGTCCTTGATTGGGAGAATTGTGTACAACAAAAGACTGCGTCGATTGAGAGAGGATTCAGAGCAACAGGAACTTGATGGGCGACTGATGGATGAGATCTTGGGGAAAGGGGCAGGGCCAAGGAAGTTCACTTTCAAGGAATTGGAACGAGAAGGTTGTCTGCCAATGCCGCCGGCCAATTCGGTGACGTTGGAAGTCCGATCTGGAAACAGAGTGGTCGGAGCGGCAGTTCAAGTTTTTTTTATAATTACTTTTTTTCATTTTTTATAATTATAATTTTTTTATAATGATGTGTAATTTCTAAAAATTTAATTTTTATTTTTTAATTATTTTTTATTTGCCACGTCACACATTTAACGGTCAACGGTCAGAGTTGACCGCCACGTCAGTCAAAGTTAACGGAGGTTAACGGAGAGTGACCGAACTTGAACTGTTCAACTAATTCGAGTGACTATAAACGGAATAAATTAATTTGAATGGCAAACTTGAAATTTTATAGCAATTCGAGTGACCAAACTTGCAATTAAGCCTAACAAATATATATTTGTTGACACATAAAATTATTTTGGCCCGAATTAAATGCCGAATTAATTAGTCTCTGCATTTAATTCGATACCGCATGACAAAAAAGGTGTCGTTTGGAGTCGAACGACGTCGTGGATAGTTTAAACGACACCGCGAGGAAGCCCGACAGCACCACGGTACTGCAAAAGACGTTGTTTGATAAAAAACAATGTTGCGAGCCGAGACTACAAATTCAGTCGGCCTTGCTGGTGTTCTTGTTGAAAGAGGAGTGTTTTTTGTTCATTCCTTGTCAACAGAGGAGAGAAACGACACCGCTTAGAGACAAGCGCCATCACGGATGGGTAAAAAAACGACACTGCGATGTCGATTAATTAAAAACCATATCGGGTTAGTGCTTGGTCCAAAATCCGCCAAGGCCAACACGAGTACAAAGTCTCCCCGGTTTAATAAATTGATTTTTTAATTATTTTGGACGGTGTCGTTTAGTTAAAAACGATACCGCGAGTTAGCCCAATAATGTCGCAGTGGTTAAAACGACAGTGTTTCATGTAAAACAATGTTGCGAATGAAAAAGCAAACGGAGCTATTTGGGGAAGAAAACGACACCGCAAGTAAGCTCGACTGTACCGCAACACTTGAAACGACATTGTTTACTAGAAAACAATGTCGTGAGTTATGGGCCGCAAGATTGGTGTTGGGGTTAAAGTAGGAGTGTTTTGTATCACGTAACGGAGAAGGAGAAGATTCGGTGGTGAGGGAGTAAAAAACGGTGTTGCTTTGTAAAACAAACAACGTAGAAAAGTCAAAGCCCAACAGCACCACAAGACTAGAAAACGACGTTGTTTGGCAGAGAACAGTGTCGTGATGGCTGAGTTTTTCAATAAGGCCAGTTCAATTAATTATATAATTGCAATAATTATTTTGGACGAAGCTTTTTGTTGAAAACGACATTGTGGGAGATAGCAACACCGCTGCGGCACTAGAAACGATGTTGTTTACTAGAAAACAACGTCACATGGCTAGTGATAGACCAATAATTATACATATTTTTACCCCTATTCTGGAGCCGTTTGTGCTGAGGAATCTCGTGTTTTAAGCCGATTTTACGCTAGGTTGTGTGTTTGTGTCATATTTCAGGTCCCGGCTGAGAAATCGAGGCGGAGAAACGAGTTCTAGGTCGAAAGGAGCCGAGTTGGGACTAAGGGGGCTGCAGGAGGAAAATACCCGGTCGGATGGCAAATACCCGACCGGGTATTTATCATTTTCGGCACCCGTGAGAAGCAGAAGGGGGCCCGGGCGATGGCCTAAAATCCCCGGTCGGGGATTTTGAGATCAGACCGGGGATTTTCCCCTTTAGTGAAACGGCGCGTTTGGACAATACCCGGTCGAACCCAAAAATACCCGACCGGGTATTTCGACCGGGTATCGCGAGGGCAGCTGATAAAAGAGAAAGAAGGCCAATTTTCAAAGGGTTCCGAGTTTTTGAGAGAGAAAGCGATACCTAGAGAGAGAAAGCGACGAACCAGAGTTCCCAAGCGCCATAGATCGATCTTCAACACCATTGGAGCCCGGTTTGAGCTTGGAGAAGTGCGATTAAACGTCCAGGAGTAGAAATCCAACTTCACAGTATGATTTCCGCGTCTGAATCTGCTTTTGCTTCTTTCTCCATGGAGTAGTTTCCCCATTCATCTGGGTATGGGGAACCCTAGATTTGTATGCTAGGTCTGATTGTATGAACCCAAGTACAGAGTTTGTGAATTGATTATATTCGATTGAGGTTTGAATGATTGAATGACTTGAATCCTGATCAAATTCCTGTTGTTTCTGCTTTGACCTGGAATGAGAATATCTGCCTAGGTTGATAGAGTACCCTTAATCGAAGGTGGCGAATTGGTGACTTTAGTCGAGGAGCCAATTCGCTATTCTGTACCGAAGTTAATTCGGTAGTGGAGGTTTGGTTCATTAGGGCCTCAATCTGTTTACTCCGGTGGAGGTTAGTCGCCCGCTAGAGACTCAGATTGAGAGGGTCTGGAGACCTTTAGTCGAGACTTCAGGCTAATTGAGAACCTTCCGCAGTATAACTTTCATGAAAACTGAACTTGGTAAATTGCAATCCGACTTAACTGCAGTCTAGGGGGAACCATATCCGGGTGACCTCTCTTGACTTGACAACAACCGTTTACTTGCTTTGTGTTTTGTTTGCTTGAGTTGCACTAAAAGTTCATCGCTAAATAACAAGAATTCACCGAGTAGTCATCACATCTAGGACCCGGGTTGACAATAAAACCCAAACCCGCTATACTACGCTTTAGGAAGTGGTTACACTTGGCCATTTTCTAGAGTGACAGTAGGAGTGAGTCAAGTTTTTGGCGCCGTTGCCGGGGAAGGCTAGGTTGTTGAAGAAAAGTGATTTCTGTTACTTTAGCATTTTCATTTTTTTTGCATTGAGTTTTTGTTTTTTTCCCACTTGTGCCTTCACGGGTTTGCATTGCTTGATTGTGTGCAGCTAGTGCATGACCCGTAGCCAGTCGGGAGGTTTACTGCCGTTGAATCCTGAGATTGAGCGCACCTGCAAACAACTTCGGAGACAACATCAAACTAGACTGGCTACGGTGGAGCGCCGAGACGGCCAATTGACCAGCGACTCCGAGGACGAGTACGAGATGGAAGGCGATCAGAACCCACCTCCTCAGAACCAGATCCTGGGGAACGACCAACACCCCCAGGGAGCTGGCACCATCATCATCCACCACCACCGGGTCCCACCCTGGAGTACTACTATACTCCACGGATTGCTGACATCCGCCCGGTCATCCTCTATCCGCCCATTCC